GCCAGAATACTGTAAACCGATATAAAACTGACACCGGGGGTCAATGGTAATATAACGTTATCCCGAAAACTAACCAACACCAATCTCCTCACGTCAAAGTGCGGTATGAGGCCGAAGAACTCTCTGGACTCCTTGGCGGAGAGTGTACCGGTACCTTTGAGTTCTTGCTGGAGCGGGAGGAAGACAGCTTCAAAGTATGGGAGAATGTTCCCAAACAGGAAGCCCCAGACTTCGACTAGTTTTAGAATAAGTTTGTCGTCTGGAAGAGTGGGTAGAGTGGGGTCTAGAGTTAGCATGCCGGTGTCTAGAAGGTCGCGGACGTCGTCCAATAGTTGCCCCGAGGAGCAGCGGTCATAGCAGCGTTTTATATGAAGGCTAAAGGTTGATTGGTTAACAGCTGTGAAGGGGACGAAAGGAAAGTGGGGAATTGTACACTACTAATTTATTCAAATCTTCAACTGTATTCCTTAACGGTTCCCCATCGAATAAACCGAGCACTCGGCCGCGTAGTATTGTCCAAGCATTGTCCTGTCCAATGACTGACCCACTAGCCCCAAACCCTTCTAAAAACGCATCATCCCAACTACTCCCACCCGTAAATCCCTTCCCGCCCTTCCCCCTCGTCCCGATATCTATGCCCGTAATAGTCTTCTGCAAATCCACCTTCGAGCTACTCCCAAACACCGCCGAACTGGGTGACGATGGGCCAAAGCTGTATAGTGATGACCCATCCGCCGAAATCGCTTTGCTATTTGACGCGGAGGAGGAGAACGTATGATCCTTATCCCTCCTCGCCCGTAAGAAATGTGGCTTATGCGAATGCGAGTGGTCCTTCTGCTGCGCCGGAGGGCTGGAGGAGTACCCCTGGAACGATGCGTACTGGGAATGCAAGTCCTGAGTAGACGCTGATATAAACGTGTTGACAGAGGCGCTGTGCGCAGAGCTAAATGATGGTTTCCGCTCCCCGCCAGCGCCCAGCGCTGCAGCGATCGCAGCAGCGGAGGGAGTCAGCCGCGGAATGGGCGACGAGATGGCGGGCAGTTTATTGGGACTGGGGGGCGGACGTAACGCTTTGTCCAGTGTTGGCGTGCCAATTCGGGCAGGTTTTGAAAAAATCTTCATTTTAGAGTCCTTCTTGGCGGGTGGAGGGGTATAATTTAATAGCTGAGGTATTTGGTGCTGTGTTGGTTGCGGTTGGGGTGCGGGCGGTGGTGGGATTGTATGTGGTGGGGGGGTGGGCGGAGATTCGAAAGTGAAAGCAGTGTTTGCTGCTGCGGAGGATAGAACGGAGGAAGTGAGTGGTGGTGATGTCGGTGATGGGGCAGTTGCAGAGCGCTTGCGCTGCGATGCCTGCATCGCGTACGCTGCTGGTACCTGTGATGAGGGTTGTGTTTGAAGTTGGGGTTGTGTCGATTGTGAGCGAATCAGTGTTGGTTCGAAAAAACCTTGGGCTGCTGCTGCTACAGGTGAGGTTTGTGTTACAGGGGGAGTGCTCGGGGGGATCAGTTTAATTGTCGAAGTTGAAGCATTAGGATTTGCCGCTGTCCACTGGGAAGATGATCGCGTATCGATGCTATGTACTAGACACGCCGGGATCC